TACCAAACAAAATACTCAGTGGCTCTTTTGAAGAACACTTAGCTGTTCTCCAACTCTCTTAGTACTTACTCTCTTAAGTCAGGGAATCTTCCTGAAGGGTTGGTGGAAGCCCTTCAATATCTTCCTGCTCTGCTTTCTCAGCTATTTGAGGGGCCAAAAAATTACTCATCTCTTATGTTTTTTATGTTGTCCTAAAGTTTCTTCTTAATGTTTCACCTAAATGCTTCATTGCCTAGCATACCATGAATATTTGTTGAATGAATAAATGTGTATCAAAATGTCATCATGCCTGAAAATAGACCAGGTAGAAGAAGAGAAAAAAGAATACTCAAGTTTCTGCCTGTGGACGCCGCTGAAGAAGCATCGTTAAAGTCTCTCTTCTCCCTGCGATCGTGTCTAAGTCAGAGTCTCCTAAAGAGCTAGAACAGCTGAGGAAGCTCTTCATTGGAGGGTTGAGCTTTGAAACAACCGAAGAGAGCCTGAGGAGCCATTATGAGCAATGGGGAACGCTCAGAGATTGTGTGGTAATGAGAGATCCAAACACCAAGCTCTCCAGGGGCTTTGGGTTCGTCACGTAGGCAACTGTGGAGGAGGTGGATGCAACCATGAATGCAAGGCCACACAAAGTGGATGGAAGAGTTGTGGAACCAAAGAGAGCTGTCTCAAGAGAAGATTCTCAAAGACCAGGTGCCCACTTAACTGTGAAAAAAATATTCGTTGGTGGCATTAAAGAAGACACTGAAGAACATCACCTAAGAGATTATTTTGAACAGTATGGAAAAATTGAAGTGATTAAAATCATGACTGACAGAGGCAGTGGCAAGAAAAGGGGCTTTGCCTTTAAAACCTTTGATGACCATGACTCCGTGGATAAGATTGTCATTCAGAAATACCATACTGTGAATGGCCACAACTGTGAAGTTAGGAAAGCCCTGTCTGTCAAAGCAAGAGATAGCTAGTGCTTCATCCAGCCAGAGAGGTTGAAGTGATTCTGGAAACTTTGGTGGTGGTCGTGGAGATGGTTTCAGTGGGAATGACAACTTTGGTCGTGGAGGAAACTTCAGGGGTCATGGTGGCTTTGGTGGCAGCCATGGTGGTGGTGGATATGGTGGCACTGGGGATGGCTATAATGGATTTGGTAATGATGGAGGCAATTTTGGAGGTGGTAGAAGTGACAATGATTTTGGCAGTTACAACAGTCAGTCTTCAAATTTTGGACCCACGAAGGGAGGAAACTTTGGAGGCAGAAGCTCTGGCCCCTGTGGTCGTGGCGGCCAATACTTTGCCAAACCACGAAACCAAGGTGGCTATGGCGGTTCCAGTAGCAGCAATAGCTATGGCAGTGGCAGAAGATTTTAATTAGGGGAGGCGTCTGCTACTAGTCTTATCAGCTCTTAAAAACAGAAACTCATCTGTCCAAGTTCATGGCAGAAAGGAACGTCCTTGTGAAGACCTTTATCTGAGCCACTGTACATGATTACCACTGCCATGCAGTTAACATGAGTTGTTCTGCAGCTCAAATTCCATTTTGTGAATGGGTTTTGTTTTTTTTTTTAATAAACTGTATTTAACTTAAAAAAAAAAAGAATACTCTATAAAGCTGGAAGAAAGAAATTAAGTAAATAGAATATTCATGTCATCTGCCCTTTCATCATCCCACTTTTTATTTATTGCAGTCTTTTCAGTCTGAATATTTCCTCCTGAGGCATTTTCTGCCCTCAGAAATGACTCCCTGATCCCAGTTCCTGTAGCCCTCATCATTGACACCTTTCATTTGACACATTTCATTACACCATTATTGAATAAATATATGTATGTCCTTCGCAAGTAAAAAAAAAATATTCATGGAAACCCCAAGGATGATCCAATATGATAGATACATAACTTTTATAGAGTAATCTTATATTCTGTTAGGCATTTTCTTAGCACAGTGGCTCTGATTTTCCCTCAAAGCTTTTTGTAGCTTCTCTAAGTGACGTGTCTGTCACCAGTCACCTGGGGACTATCTGATATTACTTGTTGTGAGATACTGAGAAGGAAAAGCAGAAATATAGTCCCTTCTGTCTGTGGGAGTAGTGTGGGGTCAGGGCCATTATCTCCCAAATTCCATTGGGAGCTGTGGCTTGCAGAAAGGATGCAGTGATGCATGAATGGTGAATGCGCTAGGGAAATAACCCTACCTATTCCTGCTTCGTCAAGCTCTTATAGTCAGGGCCAGTCCTGGGCATTGGGATGTAAACACTCTCCCTCTCTAGTTGGATGTTGTCCACAGGATTTTACTTAAAAAGAACTTGAGTGCACTGGGTAAGACAAACCTGTGTGTGCAGGGCCCATGTCATACCAGTTTCCTTTGCCCAGAGCCAGCACTTTATACAGGAGGCTTGGGATCAACCATACTTATCTTTCAATTAGGTCAATTATTATGAAAGTTTGCCTTTCTAGAAGCATACCCAATGTTTTTGAGCACTTTATAAGTGCTAGGCACCACACTGAGGCTTTGACATGGATTATCACATTTAATTTCTAACTCTCTAGAGATTGCCTTATTGGCCAGGTGCAGTGGATCACACCTGTAATCCCAGTACTTTGGGAGGCCAAAGCAGTTGGATCACTTGAGCCCAGGAGTTCAAGACCAGCCTGGGCAACATGGCAAGACCCTGTCTCCACAAAAACACAAAAATTACCAGGTGTGGTGCCAACCTGTAGTCCCAGCTACTTGGGAGGCTGAAGTGGGAGAATCACTTGAGTCTGGGAGGTCAAGGCTGCAGTGAGCCATGATTGTATCACTGCAATCCAGCCTGAGCAAAAGAGTGAGACCCAGAAAAGAAAGAAAGAAAGAAAGAAAGAAAGAAAGAAAGAAAGAAAGAAAGAAAGAAAGAAAGAAAGAAAGAAAAGAAAGAAAGAAGGAAAGAAACAAAGAGAGAAAGAAACAAAGAAAGAAAGAGAAACAAAGAAAGATTGCCTTATTGTCCTAAGTTTTCTAATTCTCAGGTTTGCCAACTTGTTCAAGGTCACAATAAGTGGCGAAGGTAGAATCTGAACCCAAACAGCACAGCTCCAGAGCTAATGATCACAACTATTGCTTGAGCAATTGTTTTATTCATTCATTCAACAAATTTCTCTCCAGTGATTATGAATGCCAGATTCTGTACTAGACATTAGGAATATAGCAGTGAGCAAGCAGAAATATTACCTGCCTTTGCTTTGGGCTTCATTTTCCCTATTATATCCCTCAAGAGTTAAGTTTATTCTTAGAAAGATAAGTCAAAGACTCATGGTGTGTCAAAGCGCTTAGAGAATGCCTAACTTGGGAGTCATCTCTGGGGGTAAAATTGACTGTTGCTCTGCCTTCCATTGGAATCAATCGAAAGAACTATGGTTTCCCGATTTTTTAATGATCGCCATTCTAACTGGTGTGAGATGGCATCTCAATGTGGTTTTGATTTGCATTTCTCTGATGACCAGTGATGATGAGCATTTTTTCATATGTTTGTTGGCCTCCTGTATGTCTTCTTTTGTAAAGTATCTGTTCATATCCTTCGCCCATTTTTGAATGGGCTTGTTTGTTTTTTTCTTGTAGATCTGCTTTAGTTCTTTGTAAATTCTGGATATCAGCCCCTTGTCAGATGGGTAGGCTGCAAAAATTTTTTCCCATTCTGTTGGTTGCCGATTCACTCTACTGACTGTTTCTTTTGCCGTGCAGAAGCTGTGGAGTTTAGTTAGGTCCCATTTGTCTATTTTGGCTTTTGTTGCCATTGCTTTTGGCGTTTTGGCAACCATTGTGGAAGACAGTGTGGCGATTCCTCAAGGACCTAAAAATAGAAATCCTATTTGACCCAGCAATCCCATTACTGGGTATATATCCAAAGGATTATAAATCATTCTACTACAAGGACACGTGCACACGAATGTTCATTGCAGCACTGTTTACAATAGCAAAGACCTGGAACCAACCCAAATGCCCAACGATGATAGACTGCATAGGGAAAATGTGGTACATATACACCATGGAATATTACACAGTCATCAAAAACGATGAGTTCACGTCCTTTGTAGGGACATGGATGAACCTGGAAACCATCATTCTCAGCAAACTGACACAAGAGCAGAAAATCAAACACCGTATATTCTCACTCATAGGCGGGTGTTGAACAATGAGAACATATGGACACAGGGAGGGGAGCACTACACACTGGGGTCTGTTGGGGGGAAATGGGGGAGGGGCGGGGGGGTGGGGAGGTGGGAAGAGATAGCATGGGGAGAAATGACAGATACAGGTGAGGGGACGGAAGGCAGCAAACCACACTGCCATGTGTGTACCTATGCAACAATCTTGCATGTTCTTCACATGTACCCCAAAACCTAAAATGCAATAAAAAATAAATAAATAAATAAAATTAAATAAAATAAAATAAATAACTACGGTTTCAAAGTGTAAAGAATCCACAGCTGTTGTAAAGGCTTACACTTTCCAGAATGCTTGCTCCTTCTCTTCCGCCTCCCTCATTCCCAGCAGACGGCTGCAAGTCCTTCCTTTGCTGCTTCCAGGTGACTCTATTGAAATAGAAAGCTGATCCAATGTACATTGTGCCAAATTCTGAGCGTTGTTTACAACTGTTGTACAAATTTAAATCCTTTAGTGCAAACCTTCCAAATCAAAACAAATCACATCTTCTTAGCCGTCTTGATTTCAGGGTGAGCCACATACTTGAGGCCCGATAGGACCCAAATTTTAATTGATGCATGATCTAAATAAGAGAAGAGTTTACCCGTGAAGGCCTATGCCTGCTGTGTGTGTTGGCTGATGAATGAGGCTACTGAGAGAGATTAGAAAATTAGAAATGTTTGCCTGCTGTGAGCCATCTAGCAATGGATGATAAATATCCATAAAAGTGTTTATGTTTTTACCCTGGTGATTCTCCTTTGGAGGAACATGTTGAGAAAATATAATGTTAATGTCTCAGGGAATCAAACTGGCCTGATTTTTCCATGTTTTTCAGCACCCGAGATGTTCAACTCCAGAAAAGGAGCAGGCTATTCCTTTGCTGTTGACTGGTGGTCCCTGGGAGTGACGGCATATGAACTACTGAGAGGCCGGGTATTGTAGTATTGCATTTCCTCTGTGGTTCTTTTTCCAGCAAGTTCTGTTTTAGAATAAAAGAATGTATTGTTTGCTAAGAATAAGAATCAAGCAGTTCACTTGAAAGCTGAAATCAGCTATGCCATGTGATGTTGATAACAACCCTTGAGATTTCTGCACAGGTTAATTCATTTGTCCTGCATATGGGACTAGCCATGTCAATTAACATTAAATTACACAGTTAAAAGGAAAGGAATAATATGGAAATTATAAACTTCCAAAGAGGGGAAATCAATACACCTCACTAAATATCTTGTGCAAATATCTGTGTTTCTTTAAAGGAAGTTATTTTGCAGTCACAGTATAGGACTCTAATTCAGACATACCTCACCAAGGCTAGTGTGAATTATTAACACAACACAATTCATGCTCTGTCTTGTTGGATTTCTATCACTCAGCTCCTGGGTTCTAAGTTCAGTGACAAATTAGAGTCGTTTCCTTTTAAAGGAGTATTTCTTAAACTAAGAAACTCTTTTCTAGAAAAAATAGATGGAAAGAAAGCAAATATGCCAAAGCATATTTTATACATTTTTTGCAAACTATTACATAATGTAAATGTCATATCTTAGTCAGCACTGCCTACCGTAATAAAATACTACAGACAGGATGGCTTAAAAACAGGCATTTATTTTCTCACATTTATGGAAGTTGGAAGTCTGAGATTAAGATGCCGGAATGGTTGGGTTATGGTGAAGGCTCTTCTTAGCTTGCAGACAGCAGCCTCTTTGTTGTGTCCTCACATGGCAGAGAGAGATCTTCCTCTTCTTTAAGTCCACTAATCCCATCATGAGGAACCTACTCCCATATACTAATCTAACCCTTATTCCCTCTCAGAGGCTCCATTTCCAAATTCCATCACATTGAGGGTCAGGGCTTCAATATCTGAATTTTGAGAACACAAACATTCAGTCCATGACATCCTACCCTTGACCCCTCCAATATTCATGTCTTCTCTTGTGCAAAATGCATACATTCAACAGTCCCCAGAGTCTTATTCCCATATCAACTCTAAAGTCTAAAGTCCAAAATCTCATCTAAACATTATGTAAATTGTGTATGGGTGAGACTCAAGGTATGATTCATCCTAAGACAAAATTTCTCCTCAGCCATAATCCTATAAAGGCAGACAAGTGGCCAGTCACTGGCTCATACCTGTAATCCCAATGCTTTAAGAGGCGGGAGGCAGGAGGATTCCTTGAGCCCAGGAGTATGAGACCAGCCTGGGCAACATGGGAGACCCTGTCTCTAAAGAAACTTTTTTGTAATTAGCCCAGCATAGTGGTGCATGCCTGTGTTCCCAGCTACTCAGGTGGTTGAGGTGGAAGGATCACCCGAGCCCAGCAGGTAGAGGCTGCAGTGAACCATGATCATGTCACTGCACTCCAGCCTGAGCTACAGAGTGAGACCCATTACTAAAAAAAAAAAAAAAAAAAAAAAAACAAGCAACAAGCAAGTTATGTGCTTCCAAAATACAATGGTACCATAACTCTGGCATAGACAATCCCATTCCAACATTTCAAAAGAGACAAATGGGAAAGAAGGAAGGGGCATCAGCTTCTAAGCAAGTCCAGAACATATCAAGGCAAATTCTATTACATATTAAAACTCAAGAATAATGTTCTTTGGTTTGATGGTTTGCCCTCTAGATCTACATGGGCATGGCAGCATCACTCTCATGGCTGGAGATGGGGAGAGGAGACTTCCTTAAATGGCCCTCTACAAAGGCACTTCCCACATGGCTCTCTGTGTGGGCTCTGTCTACACAGCTCTGTTGGGTGGTGGTCCTGCCCTTGGAAACTGAAGTGGAGGAGACCCTGCTCCCGAAGTCAGTGGACTCGGACCTCTAGTGGGAATGGCAGCCCTGATGATTATCTGAATCCATGGTCCTTCTTCCTTTTACTTGAAGGATAGCATGTGTTCACAGCTGGATAGCATTATGGTCCCATCCTGTAAAATCCAAGAAGTCTGACAGCTTTTCTTCATTCCATCCCACTTTCTCTATCTCCTTAAACTCAGTATCTCGGCTAGTATGATCCCATCTTTATTTCTGGCTTCTGTTGAGATAACTAATTAAGTTAATGAGTTATACCCTCAATGTCTATCAATTGGTTTTTTAGCTATAGCCTAGTGTTCTCCTCAGAACAGGCTTGCTCATTTTCTGCAATATGAATAGAAATCTTTGATTTTTCTTCTATTCAAACATTCCTTTTCACATTTTATTATAAGCAGACAAGAGGAATCAAGTTACTTCTTCAAAGTTTTGCTTAGAAACCTCCTCAGCTAAATATCTCATTTCATCACTCACAATTTCTACCTTCTGCAAAATCACAGAACACAATTCAGAAAAGCTCCTTGCCACTTTGTAACAAGAATCATCTTCCCTCCAGTTTCCAACAAGAATCATCCTTCCTCCAGTTTCCAATCTTCCTCATTTCCGTCTGAGACCTCACCAGAATCACCCTTAATATCCATATTTCTAGCACATATAGCAGAAGTCTTCCAGCTCAACAACTGGTTCATTTTAAGGCATTTGTTCCAGCAGCACCCCACTTCTCAGTACCAAAATTTTAGTCTGAAATATCTGCCTTAACAAAATACTGCAGACTGGGTGGCTTAACAAACAGAAATTTATTGTCTCAGTTACAGAGGCTGGAAGTTTGAGATTAATGTGCCATCATGGTTGGGTTCTGGTGAGGGATTTCTTCCTGACTTGCAGACAGCTTCTTTCTTGCCCTCACATGATTGGGAGAGAGAGAATCTTTTTCTCTTCTTTTTGTAAGAAGACCACTAATCCCATCTGAAGACTACACCCTTATGACCTAATCTAACCAAGAGCTTCATCTCCAAATACCATCATATTGAGGGTTAGGGATTCGATTTAGGAATTTTGAGGGGATGCATTCAGTCCATAACAGGTTGTACACTCGCAAGGTCTCAGTGACAGATGCAATCAGTGACTCCTCTAAGACCAAAAAGTTGAAGACCTGACTTTAGAAGCTTGTTATCCCACAGAACTAAGAAATTGGTTATCTCAAGTCATTGTCCAGATGCTGCAGCTCTACTCTCCTTTTTGGAGTCATTCTTTCTGCTTCTCTCAATAACCCTCTTATTTGTTCCTACAACACACCATCATGATTTCTGCCTTAAAAATACCATCTCCCAAGTAAATTGACCTATTCACATACAAGTACAATTGTTAGAAGTTGGGGCTATTTCATCATGGTCCAATGGCTTTATCTTGCTCAAGAAATCAGATGGGTGATTCTAAAGTAAACGAAGGAGGATCTCACAGTTGTATCTGTTTCATTGACTCCACAGGGTTCATTTCACACCCAAACATTCATTAGTTCATTGTTCATATGCCTGCCTTTCCTGCAGAAATCATTGTAGCACTATTTCTTCAGCATATTCAAATTTGGATGATTTAGTCAAATTAATGGGAAAAGACCACTCTTGTAAGCCCAATGTGTAAGTACTACATAGGCAGCTTCAGATCTTACCTGTTTTTATGTCCCGATGGGCTTTTTTCCAGTTTCTAAATAAATCCAAAGTGAAGAAGTAGATATGCTACTTGTGATTATATAGGAAAACAGAGAAGATCATTATACCATTTACCTAAAAGTAGAGAGGTATCTACTGTTTCCCACTTCACTCTCAATTTTTTCTCCCCAACTAATTTACTCACTTTCTGTGGCTGTGCTTCTGTGTTAGCCCTTTGCTAGCCCCTTCTGCAGTTCAGAGCAATAGTGCCCTGCCCTCATCTTTTATAACACATCTAGTAAAACAGAAGCTGAGCAGTGAGTTGAAACAAACAAACAAACAAACAACTATCTATTATTTTTCAAACGTACCTAGGATTGTATTTATCGCCTATCTAAAAGTCGTATTCTTGTTTGCCTGGAAAAAAATTTTCCTAAGAAAATTGTTTCTCTTCTTCCCATATTATTTTACCTTTATGGTAGTTCCTGCTGATCTGATATGTTAACATTGACAATTTCATTTTTCTAAAGCACAGATATGACCTTTTCTGTTAAGAAAAAGGAAGTACCGGCTGGGCGCAGTGGCTCACGCCTGTAATCCCAGCACTTTGGAAGGCCGAGGCGGGTGGATCACGAGGTCAAGAGATCGAGACCATCCTGGTCAACATGGTGAAACCCCGTCTCTACTAAAAACACAAAAGATTAGCTGGGCATGGTGGCACGTGCCTGTAGTCCCAGCTACTCAGGAGGCTGAGGCAGGAGACTTGCCTGAACCCAGGAGGCGGAGGTTGCAGTGAGCCGAGATCGCGCCATTGCACTCCAGCCTGGGTAACAAGAGCGAAACTCCGTCTCAAAAAAAAAAAAAAAAAGAAAAAGAAAAAGAAAAAGAAAGTACTGTTGCTTCCCAGCCTGCCTCTCTCTCTCTCTCTCTTCCCCGCCTCCACACACACACCCCTTTCATAAGTCTTATCTGCCCCTCCTACTCCCCCCAACAAACTTCAGATGCTTTAGCTTGGCATTCGTCAGAATTAAGTTAACGTTTCAGATTTTGCTTTCATGTCAATATTTCTGACCCTTTATGAACTCATTTCGGCCTCTTAGAACTTTTTCCTCTTCTCAAAGCATCTCTTCGTCTTTTTAACCTCTTGTTTCTTTGCCTATGAAGACGATTTCCAAGGCAAACCTTGGTCTTCTTTAAAAATCACTCTTCTTAAGATTGGAAATCACTAAATGAAGTTTTAATAAAGGATAGATCTTCATTGCAGGCCTTTTCAAATTCTTTATAACCGCTGTATTTTGGTCATTTCTAAGAAAGAATATACTAGTAAACTATTCCAATTTGTGTTGGGGAGCTTTTTCTAGATCTCTTCATATTCAAATTCTATTCATACTTTGTCACTTGTGACAAAATAGCACTTTCTCCAAAGAAACATTCTCTGATCTTCCTAGCTAAAGTGATCCACATCTCTTCCAAGCATT